GACCTCCAGAGAGGGTGTTGGTGCCAGTTCTGATTCTATACAGGGCACTTGCCTCTGCTTGCTTCCCCCAAAGAACTGAACATTTGTAATGTTTACAACACAGCTGCCTAGTCTGTTTTCTTGTGGTGGTGGCCTTTTGTAACTTGGATTCTGTATAAATGTTAAATAAGAGGCCCCCAGGGAGTCTGCAGTCTAAAAGAGAAGAGAGACACATGGAAAGGGAAAGGAGATTGAATATCAGCACCATAGCTTTGGGGTTGTTAATGCAATCCTTTTTAGTGAGGTTATGTTAGGAAGAAATTAGCTCTTTGGTTTTCCAACTAACAGAGGAGGGTTGCATTAGAAGTAGTGGAGGGACAAAAGAGAAAGGGCTACTGGTGTTTGCTGAGCTTGTCCCCATAGAGACTCCTTGTGGGTTTGTGGTGGTTACAAGCTGGCAGTTCTTGTGCCAGTGGGTGAGCAGGGAAGCCCTTTAGACTCGGCTATATGCTGTGGGGTGTGTGTTATTTCTCTCATGACTGAAGTTGCTGCAGAAATGTGGATGTTGCAGATGACATGGGTGGGGAAAGAAATCTATGAGGTTGTTCAGGATCTGAACATCACATTATTGCAGGAAGAGGAAGAAGCACAGACTCTGTTCAAGAATGAATTAAGAGGACTGAGGGGCACTGGCAGAGGAGCCTGGGACTGGGATAACAGCAGGGTCTGTAGCGCAGGAGTGAGGGGCATGGGCAGCACTGTGTGGGGAGCCCAAGACTAGAATAGTGAGAAGGGAAGGTGGATTGAGGCAGGACATAAGCAGACAAGGGTTCTTTGGGTAGATGTGATATCTTTTATTAGACCAACTAAATAGTTGGAAAAATTGTTCTTTGCTCTCCTGGGTAGAACAGAAGCCAATATGCAGAATGCTGGTCTGTGAAAACGCAAACGCCTGGCAGTGAGGATCTGAGGGAATGGGAGACAATGGGTGTGAGACAGGAGGGTGGGAGGAGGAATAGATGGAAATTATAGGAAGTAGCTGGTACAAAAAAAGTACTGGATACAAAAAATCATGGACTAAATATAGAAACTGGATTTATGGCACATTTTAACCTGCCTGCCATCTGGTAACCCCAAGTAACCTCTCTGCATTCTCCCAGCTGCATTTCTCCTCCCCCTCCCCACCTGTCTCGCACCCATTGTCTCCCATTCCCTCAGATCCTCACTGCCAGGCATTTACATTTTCACAGACCTGCATTTTGCATATTGGCTTCTGTTCTACCCAGGAGAGCACACAAACACCAAAGGACTCTCCCTATGCCTGAAGAAAGGTGTTTGTGCACAAAAGCTTGTAAAGAACAATTTTTACAACTATTTAGTTGGTCTAATAAAAATTATCACATTTGCCCAGAGAACCTTGTCTGCCTATATTCTTAGACGAACACGGTTACAATCAACAACCATTGAGGCAGAATAGGGTCATTAGCAATGCTGCATAGGGGCATTGTATCTGGCCTGACCCACTTCGGGCACTGCCTTTGAATATCAGGGCCTTGGAACTACAGAGATGTTTAATAAGCATTGGGGCTACTGGTACTTCTCATAGTTTCATAGTTTCTAGGGTCGGAAGGGACC